GTTACAAACTTTAAACAAATAAGTAGATAAAATAGATTATAAGTAGAATAAAAGAGCTTGGTATTCATTCCAGCATTCACAGAAATAGGAAATAAACTAATGAATATTTAAAAAAAAAAAATATAATACTATTAAATTTCTTCTTAAAATATAAATTGGCAAATTTCTCATTAAAATAAATATCATTTTTTTAAAAAATTAAGAATTTATTAAATTTTTAATTTTCAAACAAATTGTTAGAATAAATTAAAAAGTAAGTTTAAAATTTTCTTAAAAATTAAAAAAATTTATTAGAAATTAATAATATAAATGTTAATTATTTATTGTAATGCTTGTTTGTTTTAATTAGATTTCAAATATTTAATTTGGTAGAATTTCTTTCTAATAATCAATTTAATATCTAAAAATTTGCTCAAATATAAAATATTGATTGATATTTAAGAAAATCAGAAGTAGGTTAGTTTTTATAAACATATGTAAAAGGTAACTTCCTCTTAAAAATCTAATGTGATAATTTGTTAATACCCATTTTATAATTAAAGCCTTCGAATTCTTCATTGTCGTCTGAGTTCTAAAACATAGATTTAAAGTAATTCAATAGACATTTATTTTTATTATTGGTTTTATTATTTTGAATTACTTCAAATTTTTAACTAACTAACTAACTAACTAACCAACCAACCAACTTATTTAATTTATTAATCTTTAAGAAATATAAATAAATCTTGTATAAAATAAGAAATATTTTTTAATTAATAAGGTGTGAATTTTTTTTTTATGAGCCAGGTGACAATGATTTAGAGTATATAAAATTATCCTTTAAGTAAGCTGATTTAAATTAAAAATTTCTAGTGATTTTAAATTTATTAAAGAAAAAAATCTTCACTTATTTTTTAAATATTTGATCTTAGAATAAAATTTATTTTTTTATTTCAGGAACTTTTAAATTTAAGGCATGACAGGTAAAGAAAAGCTTTCAAATTTATTATCTGAGCTGTCTAAATGCTCGAATCTCTTAACATTGAGTTTAAATCTATAGTAAATTTTTTGATTTTGTTAATTTTTTAAATCTAAAAGGAATAAATTCTTTCTATTTTTCTCTCTATCTATCTATATGTTTCTCTATTTTATTAAAAAAATTAGTTGTTTTTTATTTTAATTTCAATTTTACTTTTTTTAAATTTAATATTATTAAAATATTTTGGAAATGGCAACTTACTTTCTTTAATTATTAAACAATTTTTTCATTTACTATTAAGGAAAAGCATTTTTAATAAATAAGATCTTGAATATGGAGAATTTGGTTGTGAATTAGCAAAGCTCTAAAAACTCAAATATTTTTATTTAAATTTTAGGTAAATTATTTTTGAATTAATCCAAAAAAATGCATTATAAGATTTTATTTCGCTTTAGATGCTAAAAACTTAAAATAAAATCTAATAATAAGTTTATTTAATTATGCTAAAAGCTAAAATTAAGTTACAGAACAATTTAGTAGGGAATTAAGCTCAGGATTCGAATAATTAACTAATCTTTTTGAACTTAATCTTAATTTTAAGTAAGCTCGATTAACACAATTTCATTTTTCTTTATAAGACAGGCAATCTCCTTTTTTTATAGCGAAGCCTTCCTTTTATTTATTTTTATTTGATAACAATCAATACTATTTGTATAAATTATGATTAAATTTATCAAAAGTAATTGTAAAATGGATAGCTACAGTATATTTACACTAGGATCTGCAATTTAAAAATGCTTTAATCTAACAAAATTAAATTTAAATATGAAGTAAATTAATTTTTTTTTACCTTCTAATATTTTAAATTCTTAACAGAATATTAAATCATACATATATACATAAAATTTGATTAACTACTTTAATTTCTAACAAAAGTTCAATATAAATTGATTAAAATTCGTTATCGGAATTAAGCTCTAATCTATCTAAATTAACTATTCTGGAATATTTGACACTTAATCTAGAGTAAGTTTTTATCTTTTTGACAACTAAAAATTTATTTTAGCAATCTGTTGAAATGTATTTTAGATTAATTCTTTAAGTTTATTTCAATATTTATTAATAAAAAGAAGCAATAACATTAAAGACGAAGGAGCTATTGGATTAAGTCAAGCTATTTTGTAGTTAGTAAATCTCAAATATCTAATACTTACATTAAAGTAAATAGAAAATATTAATTATATTTTGTTTATTTTATCTTAATTTTGAATAACCTAATCGATTATAAAAAAGTAAAAAAGAATTAATTAGATAGATAAATAAATAAATAATCTCGTTAATTTATTTATAATTAATTATATTTTCACAATCTTCTTCTTAAATTTTCGTTTATTTTAAAAAATTTTTCACTAATTAATTTTAATAAATTTGATAATAAAAAGCAAGAACAAAATAACTAGTATAGGAGTTTCAAATCTAATTTAAAGTTTAGAAAAATGTAAAAATATAATTTAACTAAATCTTAGCTTTAAGTAATTTTATTCATGAATTATCATTTTATTTAATTTTTAAATCATGAAACTATCCAGCTTACTTACCATTTTAATTTTTAAAAACTATTAAAATAACTTTAATTTTTTTACTTTTAATTTTTGCAAAGCATTCTTTGTATTTTTTTGAATAGCATATAGATTTAACAATGTTTAATATAATAGTTAGAATTAAATAAATAATGTAGGAGAATTAAATATTTTTATTCAATTAGAAAAATTAAAAGAACTTTTATATCTCAATCTAAATTTAAAGTAAACTTTTCATTTTTTTCAAATTGAAGTTTATATTTTAAATATCAATAAAATTTTTTTTACATCTAAAGTGACAATCAAATTAATGATTAAGGTGTAAAAAGTTTAGGCTAAGTTTTAAGTAAATGCTTGAAACTTACTAAATTATCTATTAGTTTAAGGTAAATTAATTAATTAATTTATTTATTTACTTCTTTTATAACAGCCAAAAAATAAATAAATAAATTGTCTTAAATAATTAATCACTAATTCAATAATATTTATGTTAATTAATTATTGTTAAATTTATTTTAAAAAAATATTTTTAAAAATTATCATTTAATTTAAATTTAATAAAAAACTAATTAATTAAACATACAACAAACTTAAAATTTTAAATATGAATAAAATTTATTTTTTTATCAAAAGCGGCAATAAAATAAGTGATTAAGGTGTAATAATTTTAGGCTAATATATAACTAAATGTATTGAACTGACTAAATTATCAATTAGTTTAAGGTAAATTTACTTACTTCTTTTATAACAGCTTAAAAATAAATAAATAAATAAATAAATTTTTAGCTTAAATCAATAACTATTTTAATTATTTTTATGCTTATTATTGTTAAATTTATTAATTAAAATGAAGATCTCAATTTGTTACTTGCTAGGAAATAGAAAATTTTTCAATTGAATTAAACAAGTGCAGTAAACTTTATTGGGCTGATATTGAATTTGAGTAATAAGTTTAATTATTTATTTATCTTATCTAAATTATTAAATTCTTTAATCTAAAAAATTTTTCATATATTCTAATTAATTTACATACTATTTTTTTTTTACTATTAATTTTCTAATTCTTTTTAGCATGTATTTATTATATTAAAATAATTAATCTTATAATAATTTACAGTTGGAATAAAACAATTGCCAATAATACTTAAGACCTATTAAGTTCAGAAAATATTGCCAAATATTAAAGTTTTTCACTCAGGTAAATTAAGTTTGTTAGATATATATATATAATTAGCTACCTATTTTTATTTAATTTAAGAATGATTAAATTTTAAATAAATTTTCTATCAAAAATCATGAATAAAAAATAGTATAATTTTTGGAATAGTTAAATAATGCTGCTTTTTTATTAAAGCGACTAAATATTTTCTTATGATTATTATTCAAACATACATACATAGATACATACATAATAATATTTATTAAAATTTAATAATAGATTTTAAAAACCATCAGGAACGAGTTTTGGATCTTACGGCTATAAATATGTTTTGAATATAAAATTATGGTAAATAGTTTACTTTTTATTATGAATCTTTTCGTTTTTAGGAGTTTTGAATTTGAATGAATAAGAATATTTAATTATTTTATTATTTTTAAGAACTACAATATATTTTTAATTTTTTGAAATCTATCTTGAATGATGAATCAATCGATTTTTAAATGAATGTTGATTTCTAATAAGAAAACTTACTTTCAAATATTTCTAAATTTTTTATTTAAAATAAAATTAAAATTTTTTTTGTGTAATCTGATAAAATTAAAATTTTTAATTTTGAAATATTTTAATTTATTTATTTATTTAAATATTAAACACATTTTATTTTATTTATTTTAAAAGGTTTAACTAATTATTAATGTGGGAAAATGATATGTTCTTTGGTTTTAATTAGTTAGATAAGTTTTCACATTTTCAAATGGTTTTGAAGTAAATTTAATTTATTTTATTTATTTTCTACTTTAAATAAAAATAAAACTATCCAAAATTTTTTAACTGAGTATTAATTAGCTCAATTAAACTAATTAATTAAATTTGTTTCTACAATTTCTTAAATTGCATTTATTTATTTATTTAAAAAAAAAATGTTTTCTTTATATTTGAAAACTATTTTTAATCAATTAATATCAAAAAGTTGTAGCTCGATAAATGATCAAATTGTAAAAGACTTAGGTTATGGATTAGCAAGATATTAAAAGCTCTAATACTTAATTCTGTATTTATTGATTTTTAATAATTTTTAATTACATACAAGTCATATTTTTTTACTTATTTATTCTCATCTGTTTTTTTAATTTGAAAATCAATAGTGATTTTTAAAGTAACAATTAAATTGGTGATCAGGGAATACTAGATTTAGCTAAAGGATTAGCTAAATGCTATAAACTATCATCTTTATAAATCGATTTATCGTAAATTTATTATGTTATTAGTCTAATTATTTTAATAAAAATCAGCAAAGTGTTATTTAAGCAGCTGCTTCTATACAACTAAAATATTTCAAATTATTTATTCCTTACTAAGTTTTAAAAATAATATTTGAAAATTTGAATGAAAATTAACAAATTTATGATAAATATTTATTGATTTTTAACATTTTATGATCTGAATGAATTAAAGCTATTTTATTAATTTAAAAGTTAAAATAAAATAAGCAGCAAAGCAAGCTTATATTTCATTGAAGAAATATCAAAAATCAAAAAACTCACAAATTTGAAACTTAAGATAGAGTAATTAATTAATTAATATTTTTTTGTGCTTTATTTAAATAACAAAATAAAAATAAATAAATAAATTTATGTTTGAAAAAATATAAAATTTGATATTAATTTATATTTCTGATATATAGCATTCATTCATAAAACAACCGTTTTATAGAAAAGTTTAAGTAGAAAGTGCTTAAAATAAAAAGATTAGTACATTAAACATTACCAGTTTGTTTTTTACAAAATCTATGAAGAATATAAAGTATAATTAATTTCTAGAATAATGGAAAGAAATCGAAATGTATCACTAAGAATTTAAAGAATAATACAATATTTTGTCAGAAATCCAATAAGGATAGAATGAAAGTCTTTAACATTTGAGTAAACAATAACATTCATTCATCTAAATAGCTTATTTAAATAAATATATTTGTTAATTTATACAACCAACTATCACATCTATCTATATTTTACTATTTATTTTTAATATGTTTATCCATATTTTTATATACTGTTATCTATCTATCTATCAATCTATATTTTTTAATGCTTTTTTTTCTTTCTATTCATCAAATTTAAGACTCTTACCTCTTACCTCGCAACACGTTCGTTTCCCTTAACGGGGTTTTACAGTAAATAGAAATCTCACAATTTAAAACAAATAAACTGTTTTTACTTAAGATCAAGTGTCAAATTTGAGAGATTAGTGCAATTTGCTAAAGCAGAACCTAAGCCTAAAGTACCTTAATCACCAATTTAATTTTCACTTTTTAAATATTGAAGATAAAATATATAATTAATTAATAAATTATTTAGAATGATAGAAGAAATACAAACACAAGTTCAATAAAAAAGAAAAACATTAATAAATCTAATAAATATGATACCCAAAATAGATAAACTGTTTTTATCAAATAAAAGTGCTAGAAGGAAAAAATGTATAAAAAATTTTTATTGAATTTACAAAATGTAAAGTGAATAAAATTATTAAAAATTAAAAAAAAATAATGAATGTATGAATATTAGTGATAATTTCTATTTGAAAAATTATATTTTTAATAAGCTGAAAATTAAATATATAGTAAATATTAATAATAATAATAATAATAATATCTATAAATTAATTATACCTCAGATCAATATGGAGAACCTAATAAGATTAAAGTTAAGAAGAGTTTAAAATCTTTTTATATTTGTAAAAATAAATTTAAAGTATATTAATAAAATAATAAATAATTACTTCTTCTAATTCTTTAAAATATTTAATCTATTACATCATTTTATATTTTTTTCAAAAATATTGAATAGTAATTAATGAAAATATAATTAATTATCAGTAAATAAAAAAAACAATAACTTTGATTATTAAATCTTAATATTTCTATTTAAAAAGTGTACTTAAAAATGTAGTAGGAACTAGAGATTGGATATAAAAGATAGATAGTGAGTGAGTGAGAATACGAACTCACTAGAATAAAATTTTTTTTGATGTATTTATTAGTATTAATATATTTATTTGCATATTTTTTAAAATCTTACATTTTTGAATGAGTAAAATTTAAAAAATAAATATAAAAGTTATGACAAAAACTTAAAATTTTAAAAGTTTATATTTTTTTTATTTTATAAGTTCGAAAGCTATTTCGATAGATCCCTTTTTTTATTATCGTAAATTTTCTTTAAGTTTTTAAAATAAAATTTTTTATTTCATTCATTTTTTTATTCAAATATTATTCAGATATTCCAGCTAGCTTAGTAATTAGAATATTTTCTAGTTTTAAAAAAATTCGTGTATAGCATCTATTTATTGTATTGATATTCTTTAAAGTTTTACTTACATTACTAAATGATAAATATAAATTATATTAATTTATCTGTTAAATTTAAAATTTATGAATAATTTTAAGCTGTGTTAAAAGAAATACAAAAAACTATATGAACATATTTCTTACAAACTAGAAAATAAATAAATAGATAAATAAATAAATACATTAACTAATAAGATTAAAAATGAATAAATGAGAGAATATATTTTTAATAATCAGAAATCAGTAAAAAATAGTATTTAGCAATAAATAATTAATTATTTTCATAATTATAAAAACTAATTCATTTATTATAATATTCCTCTTAAATTTTAATAAATATTTAAGATTAAAACACTTTTAAGTCAAAATAATATAATTTAAACATTTTAAAAATAATTATCCTTTTTCATTAATCTCTAAAATTATTTGTAATATTATAAATAAAGTTATGTTAAATTAATTTTTTCAAATTAATATAAAAATAGAAATTAAAATAATTTCTAAGATATGTAACTCTGAAAATTAATATTAGCTCTTGCAATTTGCTTATGTCTTGGCAGCACCAGGGTCTGATATTCCATTATTTAAACATTTTTAACAAATATTTGTTAAAGATTTTGTTGATAAAGTCGCATCTCCAAAATAATTTGCTTTGCACTTGCAAGTATTTGAAATTGAAGACCAAGAAAAGGAATTCAAATCATAGCATTTGCATCCTATATTACCATTAGTATTTGTTGAACCAATTGGACAGTTGCTACAAGAAGAAGAACCAGGGTTAGATGTAAATTAACCCTCACCACAAGGTGTGCAGGAAGTATTTGAGGTACCTTAAGAGTAGGTTCCTGGAGGACATGGAGTACATTAACCTGAGTTTGAGTAAAAACCAGGATCACAGGGTTTGCAGCCAACAGAGTTTGGTATGATTGCGACATTCCCTCCATATCCAGGTTTGCACTAACAAGTTTTTTAAGAACTAGATAGAGGAAGAGCATATTAATCATAGCAAGTACATGAGGAAATGGAATTAATTAGTGCAGTTAAATTACTTGTTGAATTATCAGGGCATTGTTAGCACTAAGCAGGAGCAGGAGAAAGACCTTTCTTTGAGGCTTAAGTCATATAAAAACCACTAAGACAAATATTACATGAAGAAATATCTAGTGTTTAAGAAGAGCTAAAATAATTACCAGAGCCAGTTGGGCAGAGCAGGCAAGTAGCAGCGATATTAACTTAAGCATATTAAGTTTTGTAATAATTTTTTTGGCAAGCAACACAGTTTATAATTCCTGAACGATTAAGTGAAGAAAATGTTCCTGTAGGGCATAATTTGCATTTTGCGCCTAACATGTTATCATAAATATCCAAGTAATACCCTGCTTGACATGTAATGCAATTGGAAGCATTTTAAATATCTGATGATTTTTATGCAGTAACCCCTTCTAGACATGGTTAACAAATTGCAGAACCATCTACAGCTTTAGCTGCTAAATAAGCGCCTTAAATACAAAATTTGCAATCAGTAACTTTTTATATATCAATTCCGACAGTTCCCGTTGAAGAATAATTTGGGCATTATATGCATTATGCTGCTGTAGCTGAAGCACCGCTACCACTAGGTACTTAAGCAAGATAATATCCATCTAAGCAAGCATTGCAGGCACTTTAATCTTATGATTCACCTGGCTATAAACTAGGTGGAGAAAATAATTATGACCCTGATGGACACTTAGCACATACAGCAGATTATGTTGCTTGTGCAGGAGTTTAAACGTAGTATAATCTTCCTGAACAAACATTACAATCACTGATATTTTATTAATTAACAGAAGTCGTAGTGTTACCTGGACATTATTAACAAACTATAGTAGACGGGTCTGTACTATAATAACCTTTAACACATTGACATAGTGTATTTTGATAATTAGCATAATCAGCGCATTACTAATCAGAAAGGGCTACCAATCCATAAACAATAACAGAAATTAAAATCTATCTCATTAAATTATTTTTTTATACTTTTTTAATGATTTAGTTGATAATGATTTGAATTATGAGTTTTTAAAGCTGTATTTTATGTGAGAAGCATGAAACTTGAGCCTTTTAATTAATTAATTTACTACCTTCCCTTTTATGGCTCCTACCCTTATTATTTTTTTTTCTTCCACAAATTACTTTTTTTAGGGGGATTTTTCTTCAAAAAGAAAATTTTTTTTCTTCTGTGAAATATCATTCATATATTTAAAAAGAGGATATTAATCAATTTATTAAACTATTATGGTGATCCTAAAATTATAAAAACTATAACTATTATTAATATATTCTATTTTACTTACATCAATAGTTAAAATATCTTTTTTTGAGTAAAATAAATAACGTTAATAAATTGAATTTCTTTTTAGCTCTTTTCTTTCGATTCGAAACTAATTCGTATTTTTCTACTTACATCACGCGTTTTGAGTTCAATTTATGGTATTTATTAGAAATTAAATTAAATTTCTTTATGATAATATATATCAATTAATTAGTTTCGAAGTAAATTCAAATAAATAAAAATTAAGGCCTTTCTTCTTCCCCTTCATACATAACCATTTACTAGATTAAATTAGTAACTTTAGAAGTTATATTAAATAGCTGGCATCTACTAAAATACCTTTGGGTTATTTATTTTACCAATAAAATAAAAAAGCATAATATTAGTTGAATCAGAATTTTAGATTTAGGAAAATGAAAGTTAAAGAATTCAAAGACTTTAGATTTTTATTACAAAAGTAGTGTTTATTTGTTATCAAACATCAATATAAAATTTAGTTTCGAATCGAATTAAAATAATAAGATAGTAGTACTATTATTAATTATAGTTTAGTTTATTTAATATTTGATAACTTGAAACAATTTTAGCTAGAAAATGTCATACTCATATTGCTCGGATACAAGCAAATCAATCTGTGCATAAATAGATTATTTTCAATAAAATGCGATTAAACTAAAAGTCATTTTAACGAGCAACAAGTATATTTACTTAATGACAATATTCTTTTAATTCATAATATTCAGTAAGTTTAATTTTTTTATTTTTCAAATTAATATTAAGATTTGTTCACTTGATTGATCATATATATGATGGAAATGTATATATGTATATATGTATCTTCAGACATTTTTAATATGCAGTGATCTTTAATAATTATTCTAAGATCATTTTAATGGAACTATAAAATTCGATTTTATTAATAAGGTTTAAAATTTTGAGTGAATTATTTCTAGAATGTATGTAGATTCTCTATAGCATAATATTCAAATATTTTTTAAGTCTACAATCTTATTTATAAAATAATGACAAGTTTATTAACTCCCAGCTTCACAGTAAATATCCATCCTAGAAATTGCATGTCAACGGTTTTCCATTTTTACATTACTAACAATTGCATTTAACATAGGCAGTCTTTACAATTCAATTCTTATACTTTTCAACTTAGAAGAAGATTTTGCTCAAATATATTAATTTTTCTACTACAAACTAATGAGTGATGCTAATTAAATAAGAAATAATTTCTCCTCGGAATATATTGACTGACAAGATAAATAAGGGTATAACTTTAAGATTTTTAATTCAAACAAAAATGCATTACATAATGAGTGAAGTAATCTATAATTAAAATGGTATATATAATCTAGATAATTATTATATTCAATTCAAGATAATCCATCCTTATCTTATGGAGATAAATACATACACTAAAGAAAGAAAGAAATTGAAAATTAATTAAAATAATTAAACTTTTAAAATAAACTTTCATCATCTGTTTAAATATGTAGATTTTAATATATTAAATACTTTTGACTATTTGAACTCCTAATGCTCATTAACTGAATATAAAAATGTTTGTGATACATACAATCTGATTGATTACCTTGTTAAAATAAAATATTTAATATTAGATCTATTAAGAAAGATCATAATTACTTTATTTATTTATTTATTTATTTATTTATTAACTTTTGTAAATAAATTCCTTTTCAATAAAAATGCATGTTTATTTACTCATCTACTAGTTGAAATTTAAGGTAAATTCTTATTTTTCAAAAATTAACTCTAAAATTCTCCTATCAAAACCTTCATAAGACCCCAAAAATTTAAAACTTGAATAAAAAAATAAATCCATCCTTTCAGGCCATCAGAACTCAAGATTAATCCATCCATCCATTTAAGAGGGATTTTATATGAATAAAAATAATAAATCGAAAAATAGTACAACTAAATTAATAAATAGTAGCTAAGAAAAATGTGTTAAAGAAAATTAATCTGCTTATCAATGGTTTTACTTTAAATTTATTAAACTAACATTTTAAAGATAATATTTATGTTTTAAATTAAGGTTAGCATATGATTTTAAATAAACTTATCATGTATGCCTACTATATTGCTTTAAAAAAAATAAATATATGTATTCTTTTCTTAATGAAAATATTAAAAAATCTATCATTCATTTAATCAAAATGTTAAACATGTAAATTAAATATTGTATTAATATTTTTTATTTTCTTTATTATTAATTTAAAAAAACAAACTTAAAAAATATTCAATGTTTATTTAAGAAAAATAAAAATAAGTATTTTTTTAAAGTTTATTAATGCACTCAATTTACTTAAAAGTAAAATAAAATTGATGAGAAATACATTTTAAACATTATTCCTGAAATAAAAAAATGCCATTAGCTCAAAAACTTAAAACTTTGAATTTAAAATTCGAGTAAATTTTTTAAATTTATTTAAAATGAATGATAAACTAAATAAATTTCATATTATTAAATAGATGATTGATTATAAAAATATAAAATTAGTTATTTATTTATCTTAAGTTTTATAATTTTTAATAACATAAATAAATTTGATTTATTAACAAATAATATTTATATACCAAAATCTTAAATCTTAGTTAGATTAGAGAATATATATATTTTTTGCATAATTTTTTAATTATTCTTATTTTTATAAAACAAATATCCATTTTAAATTCATTAAAAAAATAATCATTTTTCATAAAAAAATACTTTTTTGATAAAATGTTAAGAACTTTAATAGATAAAATAGATTAAAAGAGTTAGGTATTCATTCATTCCTTCATTCACAGAAATAACAAATAAACCAATGAGTATTTAATTAAAAAATATATAATACTATTAAATTTCTTGTTTAAAATTTAAATTAGCAAATAGCTCATTAAAAAAATAATTTAATCAATAAATAACATTTTTTTTATATAAAAAGAATTTTTTTAAAATTTTAATTTTCAAATAAATTGTTAGAATAAATTAAAAAATTTTATATTTTCTTAAAAACGAATAAAATTTATTTAATATAAATGCTAATTATTGGAATGCTTGCTTGCTTGCTTGTTTTAATTAGATTTCAAATATTTAATTTGGTAGAATTTCTTTCTTATAATCAATTTAATACTAATAAATTTGCTCTAAAATAAAAAATTGATATTAAGAAAATCAGAATTAAGTTTTTATAAAGATATGTAAAAGGTAACTAACTTTCAGTTCAAAATCCAAGTGATAATTAATATGTTAATATCCATTTTATAATAAAAAGCCTTCAAATTCTTCATTCTCTGAGTTCTAAAATATAGACTTAAAGTAATTCAATAAACTTTTTATTATTGGCCTAATTATTCATGAATTAATTCAAATTTTTAACTAACTAACTAACCAACTAATTTATTTATTTAATTTAATCTTTAAGAAATATAAATAAATATCTTATAAAATAAGAAAATATTTTTTTATTTAATAAGGTGTAGTTTTTTCTCCTATCGTGCAAGTGAAGACGGATATAAAAATGAGTAATCATAATGTCTATCGTAAGCTGATTTAAATTATCAATATCTAGAAATTTAAAATTTATAAAACAAATTTTCAATTATTTATTTTTATTTGAATTTAGAATATATTTTTATAATTTTATTTATATATTTGAGGGATATTAAAAGTAATCGCGTGGTACGTAAAAAAAAGCTTTCAAATTTATTATCTCAGCTGTCTAAATACCCGAATCTCATTTATTTGAGTTTAAATCTATAGTAAGTTCTTTTAATTAATCTAAAAGAAAAACATTTTATTTTCTATCAATTTATTTATCTATCTCTCTTTTTTATAAATAAAATTAATTGCTTTTTACTTAAATTATGATAAAGATTTATTAAAATTTAATATTAGTTTAAATATATTTGAAATAAAAATTGTTTATTTATTTTAATTTTTAAACAATCACTTCATTTATTTAATATTAAGGAAAAGTTACTTTAATAAATAAAACTTTGAATATGGAAAAATGGGTTGTAAATTAGCAAAGTGCTAAAAACTCAAATATTTATCTTTAAATTTTAGGTAAATTATTTTTAAATTAATCAAAAAAAAAGGATTATTAGATTTTATTTATATTTAGATGCTAAAAACTTACAAATAAAGTCTAATAATAAATTTATTTATTTATTTAATCATGCTAAAAGCTAAAATTAAGTAACAGAATAATTTGCTTGCGAATTAAGCTCAGGACTCACATAATTACCTAATCTTAAAGATCTTAATCTTGATTTTTCGTAAGCTCAATTAATACGATTTCATTTTTTTTTCATAATATAATATAATCACCATTTATTTATTTATTTTTTAATAACAAAACCTTTAACTGACTATTTATTTAAATATTTTATAATAATGATTTCTGCATAAATAAACTATTATATTTATCAAAAGTGATTGTAAAATGGATAGATAAAGTATATTTATACTAGGATCTGCAATTTAAAAATGTTCTAAACTAACAAACTTGGTGCTATCCATTAAGTAAATTAATTTTTTTTTTGCATGATTTCTATAAAATTTGATTCATAATTTTAATTAATTTTTAAAAAAAGTTCAATATAAATCAATTATGATTCCTTATCACAATTAAGTTCTAATTTATCTAAATTAATTAATATGGAATATTTG